GTCACTGGAGAAGGATACCATGTTTGGTAAGGGTTAGGGTCAGAGAAAGAGAGAAAGACCCCCAGCGAGATGGATTGGCAAAGTGGCAGCATCAGTAGGCTCAAGTGTGGCAACAATTGTGAGCTTGGCCCAGGACTGAGCAGTGTTTCGTTCTGGTCTGCATAGGGTCACTATGAATCGATACTGACTCGATGGCACCCAACAACAACATGTGAGCCCTGGTGTGGCACTGCAGGTTAATGCTCTGAACTGCAAAGTCAGTTTGAAATGCAAGGTCGGGGGCTCTCAAGTTCATTAGACGCTCCTTGGAAGCCCTATACAGGGTTACTATGAGTCGGAACCAACTTGACGGCACTTAACAACAATAACATGTGATTGTTAATAACACATTGGTGGCGCTGTTGGAGGAAGTATTGGACTGCTAACCACAGGGTCAGCAGTTTAAACCCACCAACTGCTCCTAGGGAGAAAGATGAGGCTGCCTGATGCTGTAAAAATTTATAGTCTCCCAAACCCTATAATGCTCTGGTAGCGTAGTGGTTATGAATCAGGCTGCTAACCATAAGGGCAGCAGTTCGAAACTACCAGCTGCTCCACGGAAGATGAGGCTTTCTGCTCTCGTAAAGATTTACAGCCTCGGAAACCCTGTACAGAGTCACTATGAGGCGGAACCAACTCCATGGCACATAACAACAACAACAAAACCCTAGATAGCACGCTTTAAGTCGGAATAGATTCGATGGAAGTGGGTATGTGAGTCTTAAGATCACTGGGGATGCCAACTTTAGTCTCATTAGGCAAAGCACTCTTTTGCCATTTCTTTGGAGATATTATGAGAACTGGCTATTGTCTCATAATCCTCTATCTCAATGTATCGCTGGTGTAGACTGACCTCGCTAGATATCTCTGTGTGAGAAGGATGCCTTCCTGGGGCCATGTTTGGTTGCCTTCCTTATTTCCTCACTTGGAACAAGTGCCATCTCTGGTGATAAAGATGCTACTAGCTAACCCCTTAAACAAGTACAGCAGGCAAGGCCAGGATAGAACCATTCAGTAACAACACCAGCATTATGACAATCACACTGTGCCTTGGAATAAACCTGTACAGTCCTAAGAAACCCTGGTGACTCTGTACTTAAAGTGGTTTGCTGTTAAGCATAGGGTTGATCGTTTGAATCCAGCAGCCAATGAGCGGGAGGAAGATGTGGTGGTCTGCTTCTGTAAAGATTTATAAGCTTGGAAACGCCATGGATCAGTTCCACAGTTCTCCCCTGTCCTGTACAGTCATTAGGAGTCAGAATTGACCCCATAGCAATGGGTGTGGGTTCGGTTTTTGTTATTTTTTTAATGCAGTCATAAACAGGCTGACATTCGAATCATGCTTTTGCCACATTCTTTGGTCAACGTTTCCTCTCTGTCATGGAATTCAGTCTAATTTGCAAAATGTAGCCTCTTGTAGAGATATAGTAATAATTGTTCATCAACTAATAATAATTTCACTTATGATTCTTATGCCATCTTTCAAAGCCATGATTTGTTTTCCTTCCTGCAAGAATAGTATCAATATAAACAGACACCATGAGACCCCAGATGATAATCGTAATAGACATTGGTTGACAGTTTATGCTTCGTGGCATTGTAAGATCTTACACTGCTCCCTCAGTTCTGATCATATCCTATTAATTAGGAACCATAGCAGGTTGTATTGTCCAACATGGCCACAATGATATTTCCATCCCTTCATCCTTCTGTGTGACTCTGACACTCCTCCCATCAAAAGGTGGGGGTCTAACTGGGTATGGGATAGACACATCACAGTTTAAGTGTTGGGGTGGGCAATACACAAGAAGGGGAAGGGGACAGAAGAACAAGGGTGATAGGAGAATGCTTGGGCAAGCATGCATGGGCTAAATGGGACAGAGGTAACAAGTGATGTATGATCAACCTTGAAACAAAAGGGCTCTGTGATACAGAGATTGAGGCATAGTCTGAATGGGTAAAAGAGGGGAAATAATATTAAGATGCTTGACTGTCTTAGAATATTTGTTGTCCTTGCCTACTATTGTAAAATAGACACTTGACGGGGATAGAAAGGAATATCCAGAAACATGATTATGTGAAGTTTGTAAGCCCTCCTTCAGCCTATAACTGATTGGAATACCTAAAGGGGTGCTAGAACTTGCCCAGTGAAAGAGGCTCCTTGCAGAGCCTTTGTAGGGTATAAGACCTTAGGTGGAATCCTGATCTCCATCCAGAACCTTCTGAGATGGGAAATTCCTACTTGAAAAGACAAGCAGATCAGCCTGGAGTAGCTAGAGAAACAGAAGCTACTTCTTGAAAGAAAGACCAGCAGAGAAAATCAAAACCAAAAACTGCAGTCTGACTGGCTACTACAAGAACAAGCAAGTTTATCACCAGGGAGCCATCAAGGCAAGCAATCAAATCCCTTCAGGACAAAGCCCCCTCCAAGACTGAAACTCAAAGGGAATACATGAGCAGACATGTAAGCTTGCTGGTGACCACATTGGACTACTGGTGAGTGGAAGTAGGGGAAAAGCAGCAATGAAGAGGTGGGCTGAGTCTGGCCAAGTTACATAGACCCCCAATCAACCTGGAGTATGGTGAGAGCTGGTTGGCCTAAAGTACAATCTGAATCTAAAATCCCCATGTGGGACCTGGGGACTCCTGAGCCTATGGACAGGGATGTGGCTACTGAGGGCTAGAGCTGAGAGTGAGACATCCAGTTGGTATGAAGTGAGGGGATAGGAACAAGGGCACCCAAACTTGCATAAAGTGCCAATTGGACCTAGCGTCAATGGCTGGATGTTCAGAACCATACTAGAGGATGGAAAAGAGTGGGGGTGGGAGGGTGGAAAGAAGAAGAATCTTTTTTTTTTTTTTTTCAAGGAAACAATTGTAAATTGCTACAATCTGGTGAACTTGACCTATAATTATGGATGTAGTTGCTTAAAATAGCAACCAAGAGGGAAATAATCTTTACAGCAAGGATCATTCCAATCCCCTCTGTATACAAAGTTGACAGGGATGGGCAACTTAGACACTGGCTACCTAAAATGTGGGGGCTGTAAAGGCATGAAGTGACTGGCTTACAAGTTTACAAGAGGGATTTTAGATTTGGAGTGTGCAGGGAAATGTAGAATCCCCACTGAGTGGTTTTCATCCTGTCTAGGCAGGCCTGGTGAAAGGAGATGGGGACAAGAGTCTCATGATTCAGTAGTGAGTGACTGTTATGACTAATTTTGATTGTTGCACTGTAAAGGTAGAAATTTTGTAGTAAAAAGGGGTGAGTGGTCAATCTTACAGTCCCAGAGCAGAGGGCCCTGGGACCACCAAGGGAGAAGAGCAGGAGTGGAGTGTGGGACCCTACCCAGAGAAGTGGCAACGCCAGAGATGGAAGCAGAGATGATGATGTGGAGAAATGGAGCAACTGAGAATGGCGGGAGAGAGGATGTATGCTGGTGGCCAGGGGGCAGGCCTTCAGTGTGTGCCCTTTGGTTGTTTGAATGATTGTATATTCCTGAGTATTTGGTGCACATCCAAACAAAAACCAGAGGGAATAGAAGCAAATACTGTTAAATGATGAAGCATGCAGGGGATTGTGATCATTGCAATGAAAAGAATACAATAGGATGAGTGTAAAATTGATGTTCCCCCATGTAAACTATCACTCAATTACAATAAAAACTTAGATGGAAAAAAAAAAAAAAAAGGTGGCGGCCTGCACTCACACCACTTGACTCTGGGAAGGCTTATGTTGCTGTTGTTGTTGTTAAGTGCTGTTGAATTGGTTCCAACTCACAGTGAGGCTTTAAATCTTTGCAGGAGCAGAAAGCCTCATAGTTCTCCCACAGAGCAGGTGGTGTGCTCAAACTGTAGACCTGTGGTTTGCAGTCCAGTGCTTATCATACAGTGGAAATGATACTGTGTGTCTTCCATAGTAGGGGACAAAAGGCAATAGCCCCTGCCTGGGGCCCTTGGAACCCAGCCTTCATGTCATAAGGCGGCCAACTCACTCCACGGAGAGGCCAAGCTGCCAGGTGTGTGAGGGATCTGCAATGGAACTGGACCATCCAGCCCTCACAGAGCTTCTATCTGGTGATGCTTTGGAGCAAGTAATAGACTGACTTCACCAAGATTTAACCAAATTACAGATTCATGATAAAATGAAATCATTATTTTTAAGTCACTACAGTTTGGGGCAGCTTGTTAACCAGCAACTGCTACCGTCCTTCAGGTACTGATATTATATTCTGGTTAAGAGTGAGAAAACTGAGACAAGGAAAAAGGTATGCCATTGCTGAGGAACCTTGGTGGTGCAGAGGTTATAGTGCTCTGCTGCTAACCAAAAGGTCTGTAGTTTGAACCCACCAGCTGCTTCATGAAAGAAAGATGTGGCTGTCTGCCTTTTTTTTTTTAAAGTTTTTATTGTGAATTGAGTGAAAGTTTACAGGGCAGATCATCAGTTTTACATTCAACAAATCATACACTTTGTTTCATTACATTGATTATAATTCCCTCCATGTACCATCAGTTAACGGTATTTTTCTTTATTTTACTTCTTCTTTGTTTTTTTCTTTAAACACTCAGGTATATATAATAATTTACAGCACCAAAGGGCACATTCTGCGTGCTTTTGTAAAGATTTTCAGTCTTGGGAACCTTAAGGGGCGTTTTTAGAAGGTCACTAGGCGTCAGGCGTGGCGCGACAATGGTGCGTCACTTTTGTTTGGATGACTTGGTTAGTATCCGGGGAAGTATTTAGCAACACAGAATTTTCTGTTTCTCACATCATGGGCTGTTTACTTCTCTTCTATCTCCCACGACCTCTACTCCACCTAAGTTTCATTGCTGATTTGTTTTGTGGAACCTTCATTTTCCTAGGTTTCCTTTGGAAGCTGAGTGTAGCAGCAATGAGGCAGAGGAGACAGACAGTTGGCGGTAGGACAGTTACAAAGTGAAAGCCAAGCCCACCTACTTACTCTGTGGAAACTTTGGTGGGTTGTCGTTGACATCGGTGAGTGTGATCGTCACTTTGGTTGTCCCTGAGAGTCCACCCATGTGTCCACCCATGTCCTTAGCCTGGATGACAACGTGGTACTCCTCCTTGGCTTCCCTATCCATGTTGGGCAGGGCCGTTCTGATGATACCTGGGCCAGGAACATCAAAAAATTGGTAAGTGTTCTTTCGGTTCCAACAACGTTATACAAAGTATTGACAATACAGAAAGTTCTAGGCACTGGAGAGGCAAAGATGAAGAAAACTGCCACTGTCCTTATAGAAGGAATCCTGGTACACATGGTTTTAACATCGTCACTGCAGAGTGAAAGGCTGGAGGTTGGAGTTCATTGAGAGGTGCCTTGGAAGAAAGGCCTGGTGATCTACTTACAAAAAGTCAGTCAATGGAAATCGCATGCAGCGCTGTTCTAATCTACATATGAGCTGTTGCTGTGAGTCGGAACTGACTTGACAGCAACTGACCTGGCTTTCCATGTTTCCTGTACCGCAGGAACATTTACAGATAATTTGAACCCAAAGTAATCAGGTTATTGGTGTGAAATGCCATTGAGCTGATTCTGACTTAAAGTGACTCTGTGTAGGGTTTTCAAGGAGTGACTGGTGAGCTTGAACCACTGACCCTGCGGTTCAAACTAACTTTGCGTTCCAGGATGCTGGGGCATAATACATCTTTGAAAACAGCTCTTTATATTTACTAGCATGGTACTAAAATCTCACTTATTTTTATGTGTTTCCTTGTAAATACAAGTAACAACCTCACTGATTTCAAGTGAAACACTTAAAGATCCTAAATCCATGAGGGTCTAGAGCATGCATGTCCAGGAATAAGTCCCTGTTTAGGATTCAGCAAGCAGAATCCTTCAGAGGTCTGTCTCGGCAGGCTAGTCTTAGGAGCATTTCTAGGATTCATATTTAACAGAGTTGGAGGTAAATGTTTAATACAATATATTATCCTTATAATATTGATTTTTAAAATAAACCAAATGGGTTAAAAATATACAAAATGCTAGGGAAAATTAACAACAGTTGGCTATCACCTACCACTGACAAGGATGAATTAATGACAGCTTTCCACATAATCTTGGAATCCTGGCTGGATTCCTGGCACATATCTTTTTCTCACAGTAGACTTGGAAGCATGTAGTGAGTCCTGGTGTGGCACTATAGATAAGCATAGACTGCTAACAGTTCAAACCCACGGGTTGCTCCTTAGGAACCCTATATAGGGTTACCATGAGCCAAATTCAAATCAATGGCACTCAATAACAATAACATACTAGAAATCAAAGCACCGGTGGTGTTGTAGGATAAGCACTGGTTGACTAACCACAAGTTTGGCAGTTCGAACTCACCAGTTGCTCCTTGGGAGGGCGGTAAGGCTTTCTGCTTCTGTAAAGATTTACAGCCTCAGAATCTCTAAACAAGATCACTATGAGTCAGAACAGACTCGGCAGCACCTAGCAACAACAACGGCATACTAGAAATATACAAAGACTACAGTGGAAACCTTAAGCCCTGTCCCTTTCTTATGCTGTGATGTTTCTATAATTTTAAGCATCACCCGTGAAATCACTGGGCCTCACTTTCCGTGTCTGTAAAGTGCAGGTATGTGTGGGGCAGGCACACACCAGTGATTCCAAACTATAATCTCTGAGAGAAGGAAAGCCTCTACCAAATTTTAACTTTCTGAAAGTCTAGATGAAATGCACAATTTCCCCTTGGTAAATCTGCAAAGGACTCAGAGCAAATGACTTTGATGATATCATAACAAGTATTCCCATAAATTATGTGTCCGATTGTTTTCCTCATTTTGTTATTATTGTTAATGCTGAAAATATACACAGCAGAACAAACGCAAATTTAATAATCTCCACATGTACAAATAAGTCAGTGACAGTCTTTAGCTTTTACAACCATTCTCAGCTCCTTTCCTAAGTCATCCCTCCACTGTTAATATAAATTTACTGCCCTGTAAGATTCATGTCTAATCTTTGAATTAAGGTTCTTATTTTTTGCTGTCACAGTTACTTCTATAAAGGAACAAAATGCTCATGTATTTGTTTGTTTCACAATGTTTGGTGAAGCTAAACTATTGTTTGGTTTAAAGAAGTCTTCCAAGTTTAAGGTTTAAAGATTACTTCAGGGTAATAAAGCTGGGTGTTCATACTGCCTCAAAGGCTCCAGAAAGTGCAAATTCAATGATTGCTTGAAGTTCTGCTCTGCATTTCCCCACCATTTGATCAGAATTCTTCTCTAGACTATTGGATCTGAATGTTCAGTAACGCTAGCCAGTTCTTCTGGCCTAGAGTCAAAGGAGGCAGTTGATCATGGCAGCAGTTAAACCACACACTCCACATCCTCCTCCCATTCCTGACACTTTCTTGATAAAATTTAGAATTTTGGGGGGTAAACATCTCCCCCAAATACTGTGAAACAAATACACCGAACCTTGGGATATTATTGGGGACCAGCAGTTTCACAGGATGTTCATATATACAGAATCCAGTAAAACAGACTCTATGGTCAGATTTGGGATCAATGAAACCATTTTGGTTTCTGTGGATACATTTGTTCATGGTTTTGGGTTTGCATTTGTTTTCTGTAGAGCCTCTTTTCTGGATGCGAATGTCCACTGGGAATCCATAAGCACAGTGGAAGCAAAAAGAAATACACTGTCTCATAAATATAAGTTATCATATCTACACCACCCGCAACTCTATCCAGCGCTCTAAAAAGCATGTTTGGAGGGCTGCCAGTTTTATAGAAACCCCAAGTTCTGTGGTCTCTTAATTTGGACTCATAGATAAGTTCCTTCTGGCAGAAAAGCTGAATTTTAAAATTCTAGTGACTGGCGCTGCAGGTGAATGTGCTGGGCTGCAAAGTCAGTTTGAACCACAAGGTCGGCAGTACAAACTGCTGCTCCGAAACCCTATACAAAGTTTGAGTCAGAACCGACAGCTACTGTGAGGTTCTGGGGCATTGAAAAACACAAGAATAAGATTGTTTTCTTGAAAGTTGTCTATATGCCTGACACATGCATTGCATCCAGACCTCTCCCAGCCCTGTAAGGAGAGTCTTGTTGTATTCTTTTTACATTTGAGAGAATTGAAAATCAAAGTGATTCAGTGGCCAGTCCAGACTCCTGATTACAATGCATCAGAAATGACAATCACAATCCCTGGTACCTGTCTGCGCTTCCACTGAGAAGTAGGGTTGTCCCTCGAGGATGCTGTACACCAGCTTGGCACTGTTTCCATAGGTGGGGTCATCTGCATCTGAAGCTGTCACCTGGATTACTGACGTCCCTTGAAAGAAAAATCAATGAATTAGCACTCTCCTCTCAGCTTCTCAAATGCCATTCTTGCTGACAGAGTTTTATTTCCAAAAGAAGAGTCTGAGGAGAACCACATACTGATTCACTGTCCTCTCATTTCCCTGGGATTGAGAAGGAAACCAGTTTTCCTCTTGTCCATCATTCTTTTTTTTTTTTTTTTCTCTCCCCTGGTTTAAAAAATGAGCTTTCTGTATTAATAGTACACCCTGCTAGCCTCGGTAGTTAAGATAATAATATGAACATTATTGCAAACACATTCTTAGACCTATGCAATCGAAATGTTCAGTATATCAAATAATTAAATAAAAACCTTCCCAAAGAGTATCATAAATGATAATTAATGGGAACTACTTTTCAGGAAAGGATAGAGTGCAATCTTCCATGTGCGGCAGAGCAATAAATACATCATTTTATTGTTGTTTTGCATATAATAAAATTGCTGTTAATACTACAGTTTAATTAATTTATGGCTATAAATATGGCACAGAATGTTGCTCCCTACCGGCATGAAAATTGCATCTTCCCACCTCTAGTGGGGCTGGTAACCATACAGCAGAAACAGCCAGTCAACATCTGGTGAAAGCTAAGGTGAGGATTTGTAGGTCAGCAGGAAAGGGAACCAGGGAATTCAAAGGTGGATGGAGTGCTTTTAATATCAAAAACCTCTTTCTTTCTGGTCACAATTAAAGGGGCCTAGCAGACTGGGATTCAGAGTTGGGAGACAGAAAGCAGGAAGGAGACAGTCAGCCATTAGTGACTCAACTCCAACCCAAAACTTTGAGGTTTGAATTCACCTTGGGGTGCTTTGGAAAAAGTAATCGACTAGTAATCTACTTCCAAAAGTTTTGCCACTATTGCCATCTATTAAAATGCAGTGAAGCGTAGGCTTTGTAAAACTGCTCTGTAAAACTTCACTGAATTCACAATAAAATGTTTAAAAAGAAATAAAATAAAAAGAACACCCTACGAAGCACTGTTTTGCTCTTTGGAATCAGGTAGGAGCACCATGAGTATGAATCAATATGAGGGCAGCTGGGTTTTGTTTGTTTTCTTCTTGTGCCAAGCACTGTGTTGGGCTCACTGCCAAGATACATTCTGCCAGCATCCATCTGCCAGGCATGTTTTTTTTTTTTCAATCCATTGGACTTGTGAGAAAGAGTGACAATGGTGTAAAATTCAGAAATCTAAGAAGAGACTTCAAAAAAATTGTGGAAACAGGGACTTAGAAGATACTGGAATTTTTCCACGAACTTTTGGAAGCCAAGTTTTCGAAGTCAAGTTGCTTGTTGCCAGATCAAGAAGTACAACCTCAGTCTAGCAATCATCAAAACCCAAGCTCTTTCCACGGCATTTGCAGCAAAGGGTACTGACTAGCTGACCTTCAGTTTAGAGAGTGTGCAGTTATTTTCATGTGGTTTCCATGAAATAGAGAACTGTTGCACAGAAGCTAAGAAAAATGTTATTTTTTTCATGTGATATAATATCATATGTATAAGGTCAGCAGTTCAAACCCACCAGCCGCTGCTCAGAAACACTATACAGAGTCATTATACATATAGTATGAACTCTTTCCAGGTGCCATGTACTATTCTAGACATTGGAGCTGACTTATAAAGCTGAATAAGCTATATATGCTACTATCATGGTACAAAAAGGGAGATTATTAATCTTTTTAAGCCTAATTGGTTTCTAGAACTCTGCTAAATCCAAGACAGCTCTTTGGTTCTACATCTGTTTGACTCTCACCATGTATATGTTAGCCTCATTCTATAGATGATGAAAAGAAAACTTCGAAAGGAAGAGAAGTTATCTGGGTTTATGCAGTTGGTCAGAGGCACAACACTGAGGCAAAGCCAGACTACCTGACAACAAAGACCGTACTCTCAGATGCCAGATGAAAAGGTCTGGCTAGCAGCAATGAACCCCCATGTGTGGGAACAATGGAATGCCTCTTGATTATCCTTTGATGGCTGATCTTTCCCCTGACTCAGATCTTTCCTGAGACTCCTGCCCTCTACTTCATGGGTTTTTTGATGTCTGCATCTCATTAGCATCCCCAGGTAAATACTGAGAGGCTAAAGGACATGGCAGGGAAAATGGAAGACATGAAGACTAGAAATGACTAAATGATTCAGCCCAGCTTTCATAAAGTATGAGAAGTGCTTGAAGTGTCTGAGGACAAGAAGGAGGAGGTGGAGTTAATGATTCCGGTTTTCTGGAATAAGAGACTGTACACGCAAAGAGAGAGGAGCTTAGCATTCTACAATCACATCTGCATCTAACTTTCTTGGAATCAGTTCATACCCATCTTGAGTGCCTGGTTTTCTCATCTGCAAAATGAGTTGTTTATCTCTAAATCTCAGACTCATATAACTAGACCCACTTTCGAATCAGAAGAGCCCTACTCACTGTTGTGAAGACCAAGCATTCTTAATATATGAGACGTGATTCTTAAAAGACCACAAGAACATGTATTCTACAAATGGTACTGCCAGAGGAATATGATTGAGTGGAAGAAATATTATAGAGCATTATCTTTTGGCAATGCAAGGTGGTAATGCACGTAGGGTGAAGAGGAATCAACGTCTTACTTATTCTCACAATGGATGATGGCGTAGTGTCATGGCTATGAATGTTTTCTACATTAACAACTCTGATGACACTGGATAAATTAGTAAACCTGCTTTTGGTTTGTATTTCTCATCTGTATAACAAGGCACAAGGACCTACTTCATTGCAAAGATTAATTATTGTAAAGATTAAATGAAAAGATGTAAATCATTAATTAGCACAATATCTATATGCAACAAATATTATGATTGGACATCAATATGCACTATTTGCTGGACATATTATCTCTCCAATCCTGCAAGACTATAAATTAGTAATTCTATTTTACAAATGATGAATCCAAAGCTAAGAAAATACATGGAACTGGTTATAAGCCATAGGGTTAATAAGCACAAGAGCCAGTGTTAACCCAGATTTCACTATGTTGTTCCCATTCTGAAGATTTTAAAACTTCAAAGACATTTCAAATATTTGACAATTCAGCTACACAACTAAATTTTTGTTGTTGTTTATTTTGTAGTAGAAGATAAGTTCTACTTCCAGGAGAACAGATTGGAGAACAACCCAACCACCCAAGGCACACCAGGCCTGGAGGTAGACCAGATGTTGCCAGCTGTACGCACCCACATTGGACCTCTCTGGCACGTTGGCATGATAGGTCTCATGCAGGAATTCAGGAGGGTTATCATTAATGTCCTGGACCTTGACAATGAATTCTGATGGTGGCTCCAGTGGTCGGTTGGTGTCTCTGTCCACTGCTTGAGCCATCAGCGTGTACTGGGCTCTCTCCTCTCTGTCCAATGTCTTGGTGGCATGAATGTTCCCTGATTTGTCATCAATCACAAAAATGGTTCCGGCGCCTTCACCTGAGAGAATGTATTTAATGTTCCCATCACCAGAGTCAATATCGGAGTGAAGCTAGGGAAAGAGAAATTGAGAATTGTAATTCCATGAGGGATTAATTCCAGAGAGACAGAGACGACAGAGACTCACTCACAAGCTGCTCACTACACTTGGCTGTATACACACACACACACACACACACACACACACACACACACACACTAGTCTACAAATGAAGAAATGGAACTTTAGAGACGATAGTCGCCTTGGCAAAGATTAAACACCTGGGGATCAGTGAAGTCAGAAGTCTTACACACACACACACACACATGGAGTCCTGGGGTGGCATTGTGGGTTAATGCGATGGACTCCAAGGTCAGTTTGAACCACAAGGTATGTGGTTTCAGCTCACCAGCCGCTCCTAGGAAACCCTATACAGGTTTGCTACTGACTCGACAGCACTTAACAACAACATATAATTACAAAGAATAATAATATAATATGTGGTGTTATAGGATAAGCACTGAATTCCTAATCACAAGGTCAGTGGTTCAAGCCCACCAGCTCTTCCTCAGAAACCCTATTCAGGGTCACAATCAGTTGGAACCAACTCAACCGCACTTAACAAGAGCAACACGTTATTATTATTCAAACCCAAGCCTAGGGAGCTTGAGTAACTTGTTTATAGTCAAAAGCAAACTTGAATACATTATCAAAAAAAAAGCAAACAAAACAATTTGTATTGTTTCATTTTCCCAAACATGTCTAATTGGTTTGCGGTGCTTTAGTGAAACACTGCATATTTCAGCTCAGGTACAAATTACAGGGGAACTTCTGGTGTGGAGCTGTTGGTAAATGTGCCAGACTGCAAAGCCGTTTGAACTGCAAGGTTGGAGGTTCAAGCTCACCAGCTGCTCCTTGGAAACCCTATACAGGGTCACTATGCGTCGGAACTGACTTAACGGCACTTAACAACACCACCACCAACAACAAAGTACATGACCACTTTGTTTTTAGTCCACAGTGCTGCTCAGAGAAGGAAAAAGACATTCTTACAAACGTGTTATTCATAACAAACTATGAGTTTTCATGAGGTCATGGCTAACCCATTTCTTGTGAGCACAGCAGTTTGTGAGTGAAATATGAAACTTCCAATGAATGGAGAGAATGGCTCAACTCTTATATTTTTTTTCTCAAAAAGGGCAGATCCCTTGCCCAGGTAACCTGTGGTATGTTCACTCCTCTGCATTAAAAAAGGTATTGTCATCCAGAGACCTAGCTCCTAACAACAACACTATAGGATATAGGACAGAGTAGACCTGTCCCTTAGGGTTTTCAAGGCTGTAATCCTTTACAGAAGAAGACTGCCTCATAATGCTTCCATGGAGCAAATGGAGCGGTTTCAAATCATCCACCTTCTGGTGAGCAACCAAACGCTTAAACCTCCAAGTCTTCTCTCCTATGCCTGTTGCTGTTGTTAAGTGCGATGGGATTTTGACTCATGCAGATGTTGTAAAGGGTTTCTAAAGAGCGACTGGAGTGTTTGAACTGCCAACCTTGTGGTTAACAGTTCAGTCCTTATCCTACAGTGTCAGACTAGCAAAAGGTAAGAGGTCAGTTTCATGGACAAGAAGAAGGAAATGAATGAAATCTCTCCTTTGATGTGAGTACCCAGACAACTAGAGTTTCACACATTATAGATACACGTGGAGAGTTTTATGGAAATTAAAGACATTTTTCATGACTAGAAATTAATCAAACATACTATTAATTGTTTCTATTTTGTTTTCAGATTTGAAAGTTGAATGCAAATATTTTTGTTTTTTTATCTCACCAGCGAAGATGATTGACACATTGACAACAGTATTGCATTTCAAGTTACTACAAAATGTTTGGTTAACCAGTAAATGGCACCAGGGAACCAGTTGTTGGGGCTACACATCCTACAGCTAACTTTGGGACAGATAGCTTCCCGGTCTCATAGAACAATGCCACACCCACTGTTTCCTACAGAAATCTGAAAGTTTATGGATTACTAAATTTCATTGTTCAGTGCACTTCAAAGTACCTCATGGCCATAAAATCAAAGGTGGTAAGGGAAGATGCCATCTAGCCTGCTCTTTGCTTATAGATCTATTCCAAAAAGAAGACACAGAATCCAACTATTTTATTTCTCTTTCCCTCCATCCAGTCTGATTTCCAGACTCATGTTTGTCTCTAGGTTTTGAAGATCACGCCCAAAGAATGTTGCTAGAACTTTCCCTCACTCCTCTTTCTTCTATGCTCTTGTTAAGCAGACATGACATGCCAACAGCAGGTTCCACAAAATTGTTGAAATGACTCTCCACATCTTGTTTCTCCTGATGACCTCTCCTACCGTAAAACACATTGCTTACCACTGAGACATCCCCCAAGGCAAAAGGTATTATTTTATTTCATTAATTCATGAACACCTCTCCACATTGTTTAAGCTCAAAACCCCAACCTTGGTTGGAGCCTCTTTATCCTCTATGGGAATGGAGTTCATCTATTCTACTTACCGCATCCTACATGCAATTATTTCCTGGTGCTCCAATTTCCCAAGTCTACTCAACATCTTTCTATTTCTGCTATAAATGAATTAAAAAATCCCATTGGTACGTCTCTGCCAATAGACATTTTCCCCACCCTGGACAATAGTGTTGAGACTCTAACATGAACTTCCTCCAAGAATGTCAATTACCTAAACATCGAGCACTGTTGTTAAAGGTTAAAGAACATCTAAGTGTTGTAATCCACAGCCCTCAGAAGTTAGCATCCTTGAAATTTACTTGTCCCATTCTCTCCCATGAGTAGCTCCTGCTTATCATTCAGCTCATAAGCTAAAATCATGTTCCCGCTCCCATACCTTACCATTTTTATTTATAACCATTTATATTGGACTTAGTCATTATTCTACTTCTCATCTAATAATTGTTTTTAAATGCTTAGGTATGTGCCTTCTTTGCGCTCAATTCTAACTCTGATGTCTAACTCTGATGATTGACATGATAGGCTCTCACATCTAATGAGTATGCTCAGCCATCTCCTCGTGGTTCATATGGCTATGGTCTAAAAGACAACTGCATGTGCTATCACAAAAGATAGCGGGTAAACAGCTCTATACACCTATTTTGGACTGTTTTTTTGAACCTGCACTTTTTGGGAGGGCTGGTGTGCACTGTAGGTTAATGCACCAGACTGCAAAGCCATTTCAACTGCAAGGTTGGTGGTTCAAGTCACCAGCTGCTCCTAAGAAACCCTATACAGGTTCACTGTAGGTCGGAACCGACTCGACGGCACTTAACAACAACAACAACAACAACAACACACCAGAGTATTCAGAACCTGAATAATCATGCCATCCCAAGTAGATTTTGCCATCCCTACACACACATCCGTATGATTCATTCATCCATCTCATCAAATATTTATGGAGGCTTCACCAAATCCAGGTTTAGTACCAGGGCCTGGGGTACAATGATGACATTGTCTCTAGTGCATAAAGCCTGGTGTCTAGTGGGGGAGACATGAAAAAATAGACACCTACAATGCAAAAAGAAAAGCTATGATCAAATGAAAATATGAAGGAGAAGGGAAAGGTCCCCAGAAGGTGAATGTTTAAATAAATTATATCCTTTCCATTTGGAAACAATTGTTGTTAAGTGCTTTTGGGTTGGTTCTAGCTCATAACAACCCTGTATAAGGTTTCCAAAGAACGTCTGGTGGGTTTGAACTACTGACTTTTAGGTTAGCAGTTCAGTGTGCCACACCAGGGCTTATATTATACAGCAATTAAAAATCCAGTTTTTATGGCAAAACTGTGGAAAACAGAAGTGTTTTCAACCTGTTTGTTGTAAAAAGGAAAAGATTGGGAGAATCTATGAACAGTGGCTTTTGTGAGGCTTTTCTGAATGGCTGATTCTTAGGCTTTCTCTCTTATAATTTTTTTCCCATTCTACTAAGGAGTACTGGTGGCACAATGGCTATGCACCTGGCTGAAAACCAAAAGATCACCATTTCAAACCCACCAGCCGCTGTGCTAGAGAAAAGACCTGGTAATGTACTTCAAAACGATTACAGCCTAGGTACCCTGTGAGGTAGTTGTACTCTGTTCTTCAGAATCTGTCCCATGCGTCACAATCAACTCTCCAACAAGGTTAATGATGTGCAGATGAATGGGTGGATGGATGGGTGGATGGATGGATGGATGGATGGATGGATGGATGGATGGATGGGTGCGTGGGTGGGTGGATGGATGGATGGGTGGATAGATGGATGCATGGATGGATGGATGGATGGATGGATGGATGGATGGTTGGATGGATGGATGGATGCATGAATGGATGGATGGGTGGATGGATACATGGATGCATGGATGCATGGATGCATGGACGGATGCATGGATATAAATAAAGAGTAGGACTAGCCTTACCCTTCCCACGAGCACAGGGTCAGGACCAGTGTACTCCTCTATCACAAAGAACTGGTTCCAGACCCAGCCTCTCTTGGAGCGCTGCAGGACCTGCCCCTCCTTGCCCTTCTCGTGGTGCCCATGGAAAGAGGGCCGCAGGTGGCTCCGCCTCTCCGTGGAGAAGGCGTGGCTGTGGCACAGCATGCCCAGGCACACCAGAGCGGCTTGTAAACAGTAGTTCTCCCTCATTTTTGGTTATGTGGTAGGCACAGGAGAATGTGGTGGTCACCCCTATGGCCAACCGTGCAGGGGTCTTCACGACGGTGGCCTCCCAGATGCGTCACTCAGACCTCTCTTGAAAGGGAGTGTCTCTGCTCGATGAACACATCACGTCAGGGCTGCCTCCTTTCCCAATCAGCTTCTAGAAGCACAGAAAAGAGATCATATTAGCTGCAGGCTTCATCCCACTTCACTTCAACTGCATTCAGCAAACATTTACCTATTTCCTTGTTCTGAGAACTGGCAAGGCAGAAATTAGTAAGAAATGGCGCTTGCTTTCTTACTGCTTACCATGTGGCAGGTGAGATAACACACAAAGAGCATCCTCAAGGACTACACCAAGGACACGGTGTGCTGTGTCATCTGGCCCCCAGGGTCTGGAGGTCTGTTTTACCCCCAGTGAGATGGATTGGCACAGTGGCAGCAGCAATGGGCTCAATTGTGACTATGGCATAGGACTGGGCAGTGTTTTGTTCTGTTGTGCTATGAGTCAGAACCGATTCAACAGCACCTAACAGCAACAACTGTGGGCTTTGGGGAAGTTAGCTGACTTCTCTGAGCTCAGCTTTCTCTCTTATGGAATGAGAATAGTAATCAATGAAAGGCTGCCCAGGGATTAAATGAGCGATGCATTCAAGTCTCTTAGCACAGTGCTAATCACTTCAAGTCCATCTGGTATTACTGTGATTGACTGTAACTGGGTTCTGGTATGTTTTATAAAAGGCAAACTTAGAACATGTGGGGGGAACAGAAGAGGGACCTAAGGATCATATTGGCAATGGCATGTACAATTGAAGGAGTGGAGGTGATGGCTGATAGCTGGGCTCAATCCTGAAGCAGGCATCAATGTGATAAGAAGGGGGAAGATGGGGTGACCATGCAGAAGGAATGTTGTTCTTGTTAAGTGCCGTCAAGTTGGTTCCGACCCATAGTGACCCTGAATAGGGTTTCTGAGGAGCATCCAGTGAGCTTGAACTGCTGACCTTGCAGTTCAAATGGCTTTGCATTAGCCCACTGTACAACACCAAGACTCCATGCAGAAGGAATGGCATGTCCCCAAATCCCTAAGGTAGTCAGCCAAACAGCATACTCAGGTTCAGCATGCTGGGAAACAGTAATTTAGGAGGAATGGAGATCATGGACACAGCTCGAAAGACAGGCTGGGTGAAACTCCCCAGAGAGCATTCCTTGATGGTCACCAAAAACTCTGTTGATCAATCAGTGGGTCAAGTTTTCATTACTTATTCAGCGAGCAAGGTTTGTCTTGTAGGAGTCAGTGCTCCCCCAAAAAACACAAGACCCTGCCTTAGCCTACAGTGCAATAAAGGATGTTTTCAAGATCCTGCCACCTAGGAAAGGCAACATATGATCAATTTTATATTGTAAAATCAAACAGCACGCCCTGCCAACTGCTCCAAAGGGCTTGTTCCTGGCACCTGCCATAAGTCAAATACTCATTAAGAGCAAGATGGCGCCACCAACACATGTGCAGATGTTGAAGAGGTTTCTATCCTATAGTTACACCTACCCTCCCAGCAGCCCTCAGGCTCTTCCCGCTGGCCATCCGTTCCTGTTGCAGGATTGAGGACTTCTTTACTGGACTTAGTTGTTCTGTTACTGGAAACCTAGTTCTCCCCTACGGACCTTCCATGGCTTGCTTCTCTCTCTTAAAACCTTACTCTCTTCTAGAGAATCATTCTCTCTCCCTAGAGACCTTAACAAACTGTTGTTTAGTGAGAATGGCATATTGATAATGAGGATAACACCTCCTCTCAGCACTGATGAGCATAATGAGGTCTCTAGGTGGTGCAAATAGTTATGCACCAGACTAGGAGTCGAACCCACCCAGAGGTTCCTTGGAAGACAGACCTGCTGATCTGAGTTTGGATGGTCTCAGTCATTGAAACCCTATGGAGCCGTTCTATCTGTAAACCTAAGGTTGCCTTGTGTTGCGATGAACTTCATAGAAACTATCAACAACAACCATTGTCTAATTCTTTGGTGTTTGATTGCATGAAGAATGGCACAGGAAAGAGGGAGGGGGCATGAATCTTGGCACACTGGATTCACTTGGGGATCCACTTGATTTTGTATACTGCTTCCACATCTCACAACAATGCATCATCTGAATCTTGTGTGTTTTCATGTGAACAATGGGGATGACACAAAAGGACTGATCACACAATCAGGGAACTAGGCAAGCTCTGGACCTCATCTTTTTTTCCCCCCAGTCTGCCACAGTCCAAACCTGCAGGTTTCACACAACAGAAAGACAGGCCCTGGTTTTGACAGTGGACAAATGATGATTTTCCAATGAACAAAAGAGTTTCGTGAGATTCCAGAGATTTCTGGCCTTAGTCGCTTCTAGAAAACAAGGGAAAGGGAAAATTCTAATGCTCCTGCTACTGAACTTCTTAGTGCCTACCATCAGCACAGTATGATCTGAACCACATACTTCACTTTCACCTTGACTTCACCAACCAGAGCCCTTCTGTTACCTTTGTAATCTGCCAAAACAGCATCTGTGGAGTCACAGATGTGTGGTTAACTCTCCAGGTGTCCGTTAATGCCATCAATATCTTGTTGTCTTTAAGTTAGCATCTTTTCAAGGAACAGGGAGTTTAAAGCTTTAGTATTTGTTGTAGACAGGTATTTAGGGATATGTTAAAGGTGGCATGGAGGAGAGGGAAAGATTTAAAAGGCAGCATCATTTAAGTGCCTTACCTTAGAACTCAAGGAGCTCTGGTAGCGTAGTGGTTACGAATCAGACTGTGAACCGCAAGGTTAGCAGTTCGAAACTACCAGCTGTTCCACGGGAGAAAGATGAGGCTTTCTGCTCCCATAAAGATTTACAGCCTCGGAAACCCTGTGCAGGGTCGCTATGAGTCGGAACCGACTCGACGGCACTTAACAACAACAAACCTTAGAACTCAGGCACTTTAATACCACATCAAATGTGTCTTACAAGCTAAGGTTACTGTGTGGTAAGAGCACCAAGAGGTGCCCAGGAGTTGGGGCCTCAGGAAGCCCTCAGGGCTAAAGCAAGAAGCTCAAAGTGTGGTCAAGAAGCTGACCCTCATTTGCCACAGGACCTCATTAGTTTTCTTATCACAGCACGAGCCACACATCCACTAAGATCAGTCCTTAGAGGAAATGGTCTCCAGTGGGCCTCCCAAGCTTATTCAGAGTTAGAGTTCTGAAGAGAGACAGTGAGCATTTTTCCTGGTCTTAACTCAAGTGATTATCTTAAATTCATCAAGATAAGGTTGGAATTCTCTTTGAAAACATCTATTAGCATCACAATATACATGATATCAACATTTCTACATGTGCAATTCAGCAGGCAGTCTCTGGGTGTTACTGTCAAGTACACAAGTATTAGTTGAAAGGTCTGGAGTTTGAAGCCTTGAGGACAAGCCTGGAGACTGACTTGTAAAAGGTCACAAAGTTGACAATCCTAGGGAGCAGTTCTATGGGACCATCATGAGTCACATTCAACTCAGTGACAACTAATAACAATTCAGTAGCCTTGATTATATGCTTCTAAATTGTGTAGGCACTGTTCTTTTCAAATAATGTCACCAACATTAACAGGATCTCAATGCCTCTTAAACAAAGATTTCATCATAACCACAGATATATGTTCAAGGCTGATCTCAAAGCAGGCCACTGTCATTGTTGTTGTTAAGTGTCATCGAGTTGGTTTTGACTCAGAGTGACCCTACCGAGTGTTTCCAAGGAGTTCTGGTGGATTTGAACCACCACCCTTGTGGTTACCAGTCCAATACTTTTCCCACAGTGTCTCACCAGGACTCCCAAGCAGGCCACTAGTTAAGTGAATGAATCACTTGAACCACATACTTCATCTTAACACTTGATGTTGCCTACATAGAAACTCAAGCAAAGAAGAAATCGAAAGGGAAGAGCATATGGTGCCGCAAAAGCCATTTTGCATCATGGCAAGTATTAAGTGTTCATTCACACGGTGATAAATTATTCTTGCATATAAACTGTGAAGCATATTTGAAAGAAAGGGTTTAATTAAAGTTGATATTTCTGCACCTCTTTCTTCTGGCTGCCATTTTGCTGTAAAGCACAATTATTTCTGACACTAGAAGTGTTGAAACTGGATGACAACTTTTGTTTCCCTTTATAAAACATTTGAGCTTAATACTAATGAATTTAAGAGCTTCCACATGACCAATAAACAATACGCTTCACCCTTTGTTAAAAATATACAAATATCGACTTCCTTCAGTGGGAGAGAATAGCAAAATCAATTTGCTTTTTAAAGTAATTCATTGGACCCATTGTTTTCAAGTGTTAGTATGACTACAAGTAATATATAAAAGTCTTCAAAACTGTATTTCATGTGTGTATAGGATGAATTTCAAAGAGTAATCTTTTACTCACTTGCAAAATGAAAATGTACTCAACAATTTTTTTCTAGTCACTGTTCTGATAAGTTTACAAATAGTAACGCATTAACAATAGCCCTATGAGTTGTTGTTAGGTACCATCTTGTCAGTTCTGACTCACAACAAACTTACATACAACAGAACAAAACACTGCCTTGCCTTTTTAACCCATTGTTATATTTGTTATATTTTATATAAAATTGTTATATTTTAACCCATTGCTGCTGCCAGCATGTCAGTTCAGCTCACTGGGGGGTGGGGGAGTGTCTTCCTTTTTCCTTTTGATGCTCCGCTTTCCCAAGTATGATGACCGTCTTCAGAGACTGGTCCCTTATGATAACCTGTCTGAAGTATAAGAGATGAAGTCTCATCATTCTGGCTTCTAAGGACAATTCTCACTGTACTTCTCCCAACACAGATTTGTTTGGTCTTCTGGCAGTCCATGGTACTTTTAATATTCTCTAACATATTTCAAATCTTTCTACTGTCTTCTCTACAAGAATTTCACATGCATAATACTTGGGTGAGGTGCACCGGAGTCCTCAAACTGACATTTTTGCCCTATTGCAGCAAATTTGTCAAATGCAATCCATCATTTGATTTCTTGACTGATGATTCCTAAGTGCAGATTGAAGATTAGAACACAGTGAAGTCTTTGTCATTTATTGGTCCAGTTGTCAGGGCTTTTGTCTTCTTTACATGGAGGAGCAATCCATACTGAAGG